TTCCATTCTGCTACTTTATCATTTCTTAAGTGTTTGGTTGGATTCACCAGTGCAGCCATGTGGCCTGGAATTTTCCCTGTGAAGGGTTGTTAACCAGAGATCCTGTTTCTTTTTTTTTTTAATTTTTTTTTTCAACGTTTATTTATTTTTGGGACAGAGAGAGACAGAGCATGAACGGGGGAGGGGCAGAGAAGAGAAGGAGACACAGAATCGGAAACAAGCTCCAGGCTCCGAGCCATCAGCCCAGAGCCTGACGTGGGGCTCGAACTCACGGACCGCGAGATCGTGACCTGGCTGAAGTCGGACGCTTAACCGACTGCGCCACCCAGGCGCCCCGAGATCCTGTTTCTTTAATGGACACAGATCTGTCATCTTTTACTTCTTGAATGAAAGTACTTTCGTTACTTTCTATCATTCGAGATATTTGCTTGTTCTTCAGTTGTCTAATTGACTGATGTGATGTTGCCTTATTATCCTTTTGATATCTGTAGAAACTGTAGCAAGGCCACATCTCCCATTCTCGACATTAGTAGTTTGTGCCTTCTCTCTGCCTTTCCTATCAGTCATTCTTAGAGATTTATCGAAGAACCAACTTTTGGCTTCATGGGTTTTCTCTATTGTTTTTCCTTTTCTATTCCATTGATTTCTGCTTTTATGTTCCTTATTTCCTTTCTGTTATTTATTAGTTAATTTGCTCTTTTTTTTTTCTTATTTCTTAAGGTGGAAGCTGAGATCGTTGATTTGAGACCTCTGTTGTCTTCTAATCTAGGCATTTAATGCTATAAGTTCCCTCCTCTGTCCTTCTTCAGGGATTTCACAAACCTGGATATGTTGTGTTTCATTTTCATTCACTTAAAAACACTTTCTAGTTTCCATCTTGAGTTTTTCTTTGACCATAGGTTATTTGGAGCTTTATCGTGGAGGTTCAAAATATTTGGGAATTTTCCAGATAATCTTTCTGTATGGACTTCTAAGTTAATGCCATTGTGTCAGAGAACATACTTTGACGTGAATCTTTTAACATTTATTTAGACTTGGCTTCTGGACCAGAATATGATCTATCTCAGGAAACGTTTTCTGTGTATTTCAAAAGAATATCATTCTCCCATTGCTGGGCTGAGTGTTCTATAAATGTCAAGTACAACAAGCTTGTTGGCAGTGTTGTTCAAGTTTTCCTTGTCCTTACTGGTTTTCTGTCTACTTGTTGTATCGATTATTGAGAGAGGGTTATTTGAAACCTACACCTGTAATTATGGGCTCGCTTATTCTTGTAGTTCTCTCAGATTTTGCTTCATGTATTTGAACTTCTGTTATTGAATGCATAAATATTTTTGATTGTTAGAACCTCTTGCTCAATCGTCCTTTTCATGAAATGTTCCTGTTTGCTCGTCTTCACATTTTTCGTCTTAAGTTTCTTTCATTTAACATCGATAGAACCACTTTAGCTCTCTTACGGCCACTGTTTGTGTGGTATAGCCTTTCCCACTTAACGCTTGTAATGGATTTTTTCTTTATATTTGAAGTGCGTTTCTCATAGGTGGCATATAGTTAGGGCTCGCTTGTTTATCCAGTCTGGCATTTTCTTCCTTTCAAATCGGAGTATTCAGACTGTTTACGTTTAATGTGACTATTGACGTGGTTTGATCCAGATTATCATTTTCCTATAGATTTTCTATTCAACTTGTCTGTTCTTTTTTTCCTTGACTTTTTTACCTGCCTTTTTTGGACTTACAGAGTATTTTTAATAATTTTACTTTGTAGGGGCGCCTGGGTGGCTCAGTCGGTTAAGCGTCCGACTTCAGCTCAGGTCACGATCTCACGGTCCATGAGTTCGAGCCCCGCGTCGGACTCTGGGCTGATGGCTCAGAGCCTGGACCCTGCTTCCAATTCTGTGTCTCCCTCTCTCTCTGCCCCTCCCCCGTTCATGCTCTGTCTCTCTCTGTCTCAAAAATAAATAAATGTTAAAAAAAAATAATAATAATTTTACTTTGTATCCTCTGGCTTATTAGCTATGATTACTCACTATTTCCTGATTGCCCTAGGGTTTATAGTATACACCTTTAAGTGATTACAGTCTTCTTCCACGTGATCTTATAGCACTTCCTGTATGTAATAAGAACCCTACAGCACGGCCCTTGTGTATTTCTTCACCTCTAAACTCTGTGCTATTGCCAAACTTTTAAATTCTGCACATGTTCTCACCCACACATTACACTGTCATTATTTTTGCTTTAGCAGGTCAATTATCTGTCAAAGAGATTTAAATAGGGAAAAATGTATATTTATTGGTCAAGTTATCATTCCATTTCCACAGCTCTTCATTTTGTGGGTTTGCTTTTGGTGAATTTTTTTTTTTTTGAGAGAGAGAGAGAGAGAGAGAGAGTGCACACATGAGCCAGGGAGCGACAGGAGAAGGGAGAGAGGATCTCAGGCAGGCTCCATGCTCAGTGCACACCCTGACGCAGGGCTCGGTCCCACGACCATGAGATCATGACTTGAGCCAAAGTCAAGAGTCTGACCCCCACCGACTGAGCCACCCAGGCGCTGCCCCTCTTTCAGCTTTTTTAAGTCCGGAAAAGCCTTCATGTCCCTTTTATCTTGGGATGAGACTTCCGTTGGACGTATAATTTCAGGGTGACAGTTTCCAGCACTTTAGAAATGTTGCTGCACAGTCTTCTCACCTGTACGATTTCCAACAAGAAGTTTGCCATCGTCCTTGTCTTTGGTCCTTTATATATAATCTGCTTTCCTCCGCTGACTGTTTTTAAGGTTTTTCTCCTTATCACCGGTTTTAAGCAGTTTGATTATGATGCACCTCAGTATAGTTTTCTTCATGTGTCTTGTGATTGGGGCTCATGGAGCTTCTTGGATCTGTGGGTTTATAGTTTTCATCACATTTGGGGAGGTTTTGGCCATTATTTCTTAAAATATTTTACCTGTACCCCCTTCTGTGTCTTCTCCTTTGGAGACTCCAATGATATACCTATTAGGACACTTAAAATTGTCCTACAGCTCTTTTTTCTAAGATTTTGTTTTTATTTTTAAATTTTCTCTCTGTTTCATTTCGGAGAGTTTCAGTTACTTTATCTTCAAATCTATAAGTCCTTCTGTAATGTCTAATCTGCCATTTAATTCAGTGTATTTTTCAGCTCACACATTGTAGTTTTCAACTCCGCGCAGATGCAGTTTATGTCTTGTTTAATATATCCCACATCTCTACTCAACTTTTTAAACAGTTGAAACCCTGCCATAACTGTTTTGATGTCCTTCACTGTCAATTCTAATGTCTCTACCAGTCGGTTCTTCTTGGTTTCAATTATTCCTTCATTATGAGTCTCATTTTCTTGCTCCGTTGCATGCCTGCTTATTTTTGATAGATTCTAGACATTTTGCATTTTGTAAATGTCCTTAAGCATCGTTTTGGGATGTAGTTATTTGTAAACAGGTAGACCCTGTCTGGTCTTGCTTTTAAGATTTGGTACGTGGGACCTGGTTACTGCTTATCTGGGGCTAAGCGTTCTCCACTAGTGAAGTGAGACTCTCCTGGGTCCCCCACCTGGAGCCTGTGAATCTTGAGGCTTCCAGTCTGGCTGTTGGGAACAGGCACTATTCCTGGCCTCGTGTGAGTGCCATGTGCTATTACCTCCAATCTTTCCAGGTGGTTAGCTCTCCAGCCACGCGGTTCCCTCACATGCCTGTGCTGACCAGTACTCAGTTCGGTATTTGAGGGAGGACCCCTGCAGACCCCAACTTCCCTTCTCTCCAGTACTCTGTGCTTCTAGCAGTTGCCACATTGGTCTCCCTGGACTCTCGCTCCTTCTCCTTGATGGAGGTAGTCTACCACATTCCGCCCGAGTACCCTGTCCCTGGGGCACAGCCTGGAAACACTCTCAAGGCAGTAAGCTGGGACACAGGTAGTGCTCCCTTGTTTGTTTCCCTCCTCCCAGGGATCACTGGCCTTTACTGCCTGATGTCTGGTGTCTTACAAACAGTTGTGTTATACATTTTGTTTGTTTTTATGTAAGGCGATCAGTCTGGTCCCTGTTACTTCACCTATGCCAGAAGCAATGAGCAAGTTGCTTAACTTCTCTGAACTTCTGCTTTCTCACTTATATATATACATATATAATATAATATAATATAATATAATATAATATAATATATATTATGTTTATTTATAGCTTACTTATTTCTTTTCAGAGAGAGAGAGGGCAAGCGAGTATGAGCGGGGTAGGAGGAGAGAGAGAGGAAGAGAGAATTACAAGCTCCACACTGACATAGCACAGAGCCCAATGCGGGGCTCGAACTCAAGAACCTGTGAGATCATGACCTGAGACGACATTAAGAGTCAGACGCTTAACTGGCTGAGCCATCCAGGTGCCCCTTTCTCATCTACATTTTAAAAAGGACAAGAGTCTTCAGCGTATGGTTTTGGTGTGGGAACTGAATGAGACCGATGTTTGTACAGCACCCAGCACTTGGCAGATACTCAGGAAATACTGGGTCTTTCCCTGTCTCGGTGCCTTGTTGTTACTTCTTCCTGATTTTACCCCGGGTTATCAGCCCGATTCCTGGCTGAGCTTTAGGTCAGGGTCTTCATGCTGATCAACCAAAGCACGTGATCACTCCTGGGCTATTTAGATGCGATTCGGTCAGTTTCAGAGCTCTGCTATCCAGAGGACATGTAGGTGAAACCTTATTGTCGTCTTACTGGACGTTTGCCTTCTCTGAAATCTCCAGTGCAACCTACCGGAATTATTCACTTGTCACAGGAGGAATGTCAGTAGGTTTTAGGTCAGCGATGTATGGCGGGCAGAATTTAAGAGGACCACGCTATTTGCAACCTAGCTGGATTTTGTTGGGGTTTCCTGCTAAGTCGCGGACATCGACCTGTTGCTTCTTCTTTTCTTTTTCCCTCTGAGTTCCCAAAGAGCTCTGGCGCTTACCAGACGAGTGTTTGCCAGACAGAACCTAACCACTTTTCTCTTCTCTTGTGTCAGTGTCTGGAGGCCGCAGCCGCCTGCACCTCATTGATCTCGGCAGCTGTGTGAAAGCTCTTAGCAAGAATCGGGAAGGAGGATCAGGGCTATGCCTCTCGCTGTCTGCGCTGGGCAATGTCATCCTGGCTCTTGTCAACGGCAGCAAACACATCCCTTACAAGTAAGTGACCTTCTGCTGGATGAATGGAATGGGGTCAGCATGGTGCCAGGGCTGGGGTGGGACTCTTGGTCCAGTGACCTCTCAGGAGAGGCACACTACAGCCCGACCGTCTGGGTGGACCACATTGTCAGCTCAGTGCCCAAACCAGCCTTTGCTAACGAGTGCGTATCGCATCATCTTCCAAATTCAGAAGCTGTGAAAATACTTAAATTACTCTAATCCTGACAATCAAGTCAGATAATCGGGAACTGTCTCAGTTGGGGTCTCTGATCACAATGGCCATGGCTAGATTGTGGCCACCATCACACAGATGCCTCATAGTGATGAAAGCAAAGGGCAGAAGATTGAACTACCCTTCCCTTCGGAGTAGGGCTATCATATCTAACCAATAACAATACAGGATTCCCAGGAAAATTTGAATTTGAGATAAAAAACAAATAATTTTTTAGTGTAAGTGTGCCCCCCCCCCAGTAATGCATTGCAAAGCCTGTATTTTTATCTGGTAGCCCTACGTAGGAGAGCTCCTAAAGCTTGGGGAATTGCCACCCACCTCCCATGCAAATGTTGACTCCACTTCCAAGATCCTTTCCCTCTTCCCATTATGCTCCACAAGGAGGAAATTAGAGCCTCTCCTATGTCTGGAATAGCCAAAGACTGGCCATGTCCTCCGTGCCCATATATGATCCAACCCTGGAGCTACTTGTCACCACTGTCACCCAATTCAGCTTTGCCCTTGGACAACATGGCGATGGTGGTGGGTGCTCTCTGCCTGTTCGGGCCCCCGCCAGGGTCCAGCTGCTTCTCTCACTGCCATCTGAACCTTCACTCACCATAAACTGATGGTTCTAGATGAATTCTTAACCTGCGTCACAAGGATACGAGCCTCAGAATGGTATGCGTGTGAAAGTTTTTTTGTAAAATTGAGAACGCTGTGGCCAATAATTAACGACAATCATCTGGTTGAGCTTAAGCAAATGTATGTGAATCATTTTTTTTTTTTAATCTGTAAAATCATGCGTAATGTAAGTCACTGTTGTGTGGGAGGAAAAAGGTAAGTCAGGCCATTTGTTCGACAATGAGTGAGATTCGGGATGAGTTCGCGTGTCTTCCTTCTTCTCTGCCCTAAAGTGATGTCGGCACCATGATTTAATTCTGCACCTGGGGGACCATTCATAGACTGACTTTAGGAGTTTAAGTAGCAGGTATAATCCAATCTGTCTCAACTCCTGAAATTTGGAAACCTGGTGGGATAAACCCAGAAATGGTTTTCGCAGCCCTTGTGAGGACCATTTTCCCTGAGAAAAAATTTCAAGTTGAAGGTTTATAAAGTTTCATTTGGTGTCACTTCTGCAGTTGAATAAACTTGACTTGTAATGACGAGAAAAGAAAGAGTGGGGACACCTGGGTGGCTCAGTCGGTTAAGCATCCAACTTTGGCTCAGGTCGTGATTTCACGGTTCTTGAGTTCGGGCCCCGAGTCGGGCTCCGTGCTGACATCTTAGAGCCTGGAGCCTGCTTTGGATTCTG